ATTTACCAGAGAATGAATAACTCAAAGAAAAGCTTGCAAACTCTGCCTAGCCCAGATGGAAAAACAAGCTCCTGGCTCTGTTGCAGTACAAACTGCAGACCTCATGCCAGCAATAGCCTCCTCCAGGATTGCATTTGGCAAAAGAATGGGAATATAGTAGTCTGAATTACACATACTTTCCAATGCAAAATAAGTACTGCCATGAGCAGAAAGTTTGTTTATATCTTCTGTTGTTCACTGAGGCAATTCTCAGTGGCTCTCGGGCTGCTGTCCAGTGTGACCCTCTCAGGGGAAGTGACTCAAGCGAGAAACAACCTCTAAGGCCAAGAGAAGATGGGATCTTCTGAATGAAATTAGCTTTTGTTTTCCTGCCCCCTTTTGATCTGGATGGAAATTTCTGCAAGAAAATTGTTAAGTGTCAGCTTTCTGATACATTTAAAGGTAAACTCAGGGCCTCCCTGGTGGTGCAAGGGGTTAAGAACAACCTATGAAGCTATCTGCAGCCACTGCAGCACGAGTTCCATCTCCGGCCGGCCAGGAAGCTGCCCACATGGCGCAGCAGACCTCTCCTGTCTGGCCCGCTGCTCCCCTCAGCAGTGTGTTTCAGTTAATCTGCCTGTTGTGCTCCCCACTTTGTCTCTGGTGAATCCTCTCACCTCCCCCCCATGCCTCTAGCCTGTACCCTAGTTCTTACATCCATGAATAAATAAATCTTAAAAAAAAAAGGTAAACCCAGCAAGCAGAAGCAAAAGTTATCTCTGGTTAGGGAAGGTTCCCTGGTGGAGGTGGGACTATAACCCTGTAGTAGAGAGAACATGAACGTACTGGGGATGCTGATGGAAATCTAAAGGGATTTTAACTGTAAAGATTTATATCCTTAATGAAAAAAATTATTCTCAAATTTTAAAATTCCATGTGTTCCCTCATCCATCTCCCTGGATCACTGATACTGTGGGCATAAGAATCCTCAGGAGTCCCCTAAGTCTTACCTTAATGCTTTAAAATGATTTTAACTATGCCTTATTCCAGGTCAAGTATATCAGAAAATGTCTCCCTAGCATTCATTAAAATCAAATCAATAGGTATTAATTGGGTATCAATGATTTGTGAGATAACAGACAACCTCATGGTCCTCTGGGGCCTTCTAATCTACTGAACAGAAAGGACATAAAGTGTGAGGTGGTGACATGCATCTGAGGAGGTGCGAATCTAGTTGCCCTAAATCATATAAGGATTGTTAACCATTGAGGCCTCAATGAAAAAGAGAGAGAGAGAGAAAACAAAAACATAAAATTATGGGTTAAAAATATAAACCCATCAGAGTGGTATATGGTCAGTCACCAAATGACCCCATCCTATAGGCAGTGACCATCTTGGGGGATTAAAGGAGAAAGTACTCACATGAGACCTGCAGGGCTAGAAGGAGACAAAGGACATTAATTGTGTCTTATGTCATAGTGCAGCCAAAGCACAGTAGGTAACAGATATGGCTGGGAGGGACACAGCATTGGAGTCCTACAGACAGAGTTTCAAACTCCAGTTCTATCATTTGCCAAGCATCAGACTTGGCAATTACTTGGACACTCTAAGCCTGTTTTTCTTTCCTTGTGACATGTGGATCAAGTCTACCTGCAAGATGGCACTGAGATGAGAAATGTAGCAAAGTTCTCAGCAGAGAGTAGATGCTTAATAAATATTAAAAACATCCCCTTTCAAGGTGATTATTTAGTCTTCAATAAAACATCTGAAATTGTCATGACACTCTGTTATTCCGCAAACCTAAACACACATTTTATTTCAGAAGTTCCTGTGACTCCCAGTGTTGGGTCTTCAGCTCACCATCATGGACACCAAGTAGAAAAGGACTGACGCTCCCCCCCCCCGCCGAAACATGTTTTTAATACCTGCCATTGCCATAGTACAGAGAAAAGTGACATAATCCCTCAATTCTATGATGTATAGTTTCTACATCTTTATGACTGAAATAGGAATGTGACTTATAATTGACAACCAAGAAAATTTGCCAGGAATATGCTTCTTAATAAAGTTGTGCTGTAATATAGTGGTTTATTTTACAATCAATAGCATCTCAGCATGGATGAAAAAGTTCATGCCATTGGAGAAATTGAAGCCTCCATAGAAAATCAGAGGTGGACTCAGGCCTAATGCTACAGAACAATACACGTAAATATGGTTAAAATGGTAAAATTTGCATTATGTATATTTTACTACAATAAGAATAATTTTAAGCCAGGGAATATGTAACCATCCCCTGGATTAACAAGTCAATATTATGTAAGGGAACAGGCATATATATTGGGTTTGTTCAAGAAAAGCAAAGCCTAAGGGTTAAGACTCAGCGCTACCACCACAAAGGCCCACTGTGACAGCCTGAGTTCAATCCCTGGACTCTCCTATCTCACCAGCTACTCCCCTTAATAGTGTATTTCAGTAAATCTGCTTGTTGTGCTCCCCACTTTATCTCCAGTGGGTCTCCTCACCCCTGCACCTCTGGCTTACACCCCAGTTCTTCTATGTAAAAATTAATAAAATCTTTAAAAAAAAAAAGCAAAGCCTTCCCTAAACACCACCTGGTTCTCTGTGCTCCAAGTTTGTTCTTGAAGGAAGGGTTTTATCCACATGGTGCAGCAGACCTCTCCTGTCTCGCCCCGCTGCTCCCCTCAGCAGTGTATTTCAGTGGCTCCACCTGTTCTGCTCCTCACTCTGTCTCTGGTGAATTCTATCACCTCCCGCACCTCTGGTCTATACCCCACTTTTTGTATGCATAAATAAATAAAAATAAATCTTAAAAAAGGTGTGGTTTATAGAATTAAATAATATACACTCACTTAAAATGATAGTACAAATACAGAACGAGATGTATTTTTTTTTCTTTTTTTCCTTTTTTTCTTTTTTGTTAGATGAAAAAGAAGGTTCCTATAAGGTTAAATGGAAACTTACATTTTAAGCAAGTTATTTCTGAGATAAAATTGTGGGGTTGGTCAATCAAAAAAATGGGCAGAAGAGCTAAAAAGACACGTCTCCAAAGAAGGCATGCAAGTGGCCAACAGGCACTTATTGTAAGAGAAATGCAAATCAAAACCACAATGAGAAACCACCTCACACCTGTGAGAATGGCACATATTAAAAAACACTGTCAGTAACAGATATTCATGAGGATACACTGGAAAAGAAACACTCTTACATTGCTGGTGGGAATGCAAACTGGTTCAGCCACTATGAAAAGCTGTGTGAAGATTCCTCAAAACACTAAAAATGAATCTACCATATGATCCAGTAATTCCACTCCTAGAACTTACCCAAAGGACACAAAAACACTAATTTGAAAGGAAACCTGCAGCACCGTTTACAATAGCTAAGATATGGTAACAGCCCAAATGCCCCAAAACAAATGAATGGATCAAGAAGATACACAATGGAATACTACTCAGCAATCAAAAAGATAAACTCATGCCATTTGCAGCAACATGGGTGGAGCTGGAAGGGATTATGCTCAGTGAGATAAGACAGAAGGAAAAAATGATAAATACGAGATGGTTTCACTTATATGTGGAAACTAAACAAAGTCTTAGAAAAAAAAAAAATGTAAGCTGACCATAGATCTGAGGCATACAGCAGGAGAGCGGGAGAGTGAAGCATCAAAACCCGGGAGGGAAGAGCACAATGGACTATGGTGACAGATCATAGATCATAGATCACAGATGCTGTGGTGGCAGGAAAGCTAGAGGGACTACACTTGAGGGGAGAAATCAAATGTTGTCCAACAATTAATGATGATGTAAGAAAATAAATATAAAAAATAAATTTAAAAACAGAAAAAATGGTGGAGTTGGTACTTGTTTTATCTGGTTATTTACATATTTTAAATGATATACTATGAACATGTACTAGTCTTGTAATACACATTTAAAATAAAAACCTTGGCCCTCCCTAGTGGTGCAGAGGGTAGGCACAGCACTATGAAGTGGTCCGCAGCCTCTGCAGCACAAGTTCGAGCACCCGGCCAGCCAGGGAGCTGCCCATATGGCACAGCAGACCTCTTCTGGATTGCCTGCTACTCACCTCAGAACTGTATTTCAGAGATCTCACTGTTCTGTTCCCCACTCTGTCTCCGATGAATCTTCTCACCCCCCACATGTCTGGCCTGTACCCCAGTTCTTGTATGCATAAATAAATCTTTAAAAATAAATAAATAAATACCTTTTCTCAAACAAAACATTGCCAACCTTCCTGACAACACATGTTTGACTATCATTGGAGGGTCACTCTATGACCAGTGGGGTGATTTAAATCCATTTGCTTGCTAAGGCCATTTATTAAGAGGATAGGAGGAGTCATTTCTGCAAATAACTGAGTGGAGATTTTTTTTTAAGAGATCCAAGGCATCTAAAGGAGACTTTCTAAATTTCCAGAATTCCAAATTTCCAGTTCTTACTAAAATTTTTGATTCTACTTAGCAAATAAATTTTGGTCAGAGACAATATCTTTATATTCTTTCTACAATCAATACATTTTATCCATTTTATTAAGGTTTAGAAATGACACTCTATTTGAATGCTATGTTTGCTTTTATATCATACTATTAGCCATACCAATGATTTGTTTGTTTCAGAGTTCAATTCTAACAATCTACCCTATATTGTCTACTTATGAAAGTGCCCAAGATAGCTACCAAGGAAGTCATCTAAATCAATATATGCAAAAGAATTTTCTTGGCCAGCTCCCCCTAAAGGCACAGTTCCCTTTCTAACCCTAAGAGGAGTTCTTCTAATTCTCCTATTGTGTCCAATGCAAGCAGCCTCTCCAACAAGTCTACCAATAGACAGGCATTTACAACGTTTGTCTTTGTCACGTGGGCCAGAGTCTGAAAAGACCCTGGAAAGATTTTCTTCCAAAGCGTTTCATGTGAGAAGTGTTGACATTATTTATTTTAAAAGAATTACAACATCACAAAGCATGACATGAAAATTAGTCACAGTATTTGTTTTCCACTACATTGTTAATGCTCATTTCTCTCCCACCCAGGAGTGCTCACAAAGCCGGGACAGTTATTCTTCACACCTGCCACTTGACACTCCCCCATCAAACAGCCTTTCACTTTTGTTGTTGGTTGTTCCACTTCCACACCTACCTAGACAGAGGAAAAAAAAGAAAAGAAGAAGAAATGACTAGCATGCAAATAAAATCTTTTAAATAAATGGTATAAAAATAATGTCCTGGATAATTTCTCTCCTGTCATAGATAACTTTCTCTCGGACCCAGAATAAAGTGGGATGTATATTTCTTAATTTTCCAGGAGGTTCTATTTCCTTTCACCCATATGCAATCATCCTGATTCTTCAGCGTGGGGCATCTTCTATTTTATTCATCCACAGTACTCTCTGATTATAGAAACTAACCCACTTCAGAAGTTCTTCTGCCTCATAATACCCACCACAATGATCAGAAACTATATTCTTAGAAATTTGTTTGGGGTGGTCCTAAAGGCTTTTTTTTTTTTTTTTCAGTCTGAACAATCTCTTGAGGAGAAGAGAGTAAATCCTGTTCCCTGCTAGAAATTGCTAACACCTTGAGGAGGAGAGGGCAGGCTGAGTTTCGGGGAGAGAGAGTGGAGGAGCAGAAAACTTATTGGAGAACAAATTTATTCTGACTTCAAACACAAAAGCAGTTCTACTAACTATTGAGTATACTTGAAATCTTTGTGTTCATATTTAAGCCATTATGATGACAAAACACCGGAGTTAGGGCCTCCCTGGTGGCGCAAGGGGTTAAGATGTAACATATGAGGCAATTCGCAGCCACTGCTGCACGAGTTCATTCCCCAGCCAGGAATCTACCCACATGGTGCAGCAGACTTCTGTCTCTCCCGCTGCTCCTCTCAGCAGTGTATTTCAGTCAATCTGCCTGTTCTGTTCCCCACTCTCTCTGGTGAATCATCTCACCTCCACACCTCTGCCCTGTACCCCAGTTCTTGCATACATAAATAAATTTTAAAAAAGAAATATGCAAAAAATTAATTTAAAAAAAAAAAAAACACCAGAGTTAGAAACTACACCACACTGGAGTCAGAAGTGAAAAAAAAAAAGAAAAAGAAAAGGGGAAGTGTGTTTTGTTTTGCTTGTTCTCCAAACTTCCTTCCCCAATTGCACCATGTCTTACTCTTGAAACAAAATTTTCTATTTTTGTTTTATTAATCAATCAGTAGTGCTAATGATATTTATATTATAACAAATCTTATAATGTTGCTTTGTAACAACATATTTTTATGGAGGTAAATTGATAAGTAATATTATAGCATAATGATTGAATATTTGTATATATTGTGAAATGATCCTACAATAAGTCTAGTAAATATCTGGTCCTATCAGTAGTTATGAATTTTTTCTTCTTATGATGAGGATTTTCAACCAACTTTCAAATCTGCAAAATAGCTATAGTCACTATGCTGTACATTATATCCCTTAGGCCTATTTACTTCAGAACTGGATGTTTATATCTTTAACCTCCTTTACCTACCCTAATCATCCCACTTCTGGCAACTACCAGTCTGTTCTGTGTTTCTATGAGCTTTGTTTTAGTTAATCATTACAATTTACTTACTTAGTTGATAGTTAGATTGTTCATCATTTAAATTCTTCATATAAGTAAGACTAGATTTTATTTGTCGTCTCTGACTTATTTCATTCACTTAATGCCTTTAAGTTCATTCATGTCACAAGATTTCATTTTTTCCTCAGGCAAGGTTTCATTTTTCAGGACTACATAGTAGTCCATTGAGCTTGTATACCACATCTTCTTTATCCATTCATTAGGTTGTTTCCATACCTTGCCTATTATAAATAATGATCAGCATACATCTTTTTAAGTTAGTGTTTTCATTTTTCTGAAATAAATGCTCAGAGTGGAATTGCTGGATAAAATGGTAGCTTTATTTTTAATATTTTGAGAAACCTCCATTTTGTTTTCCATAGTGGCTGCAGCAGTAAATATTCCCACCAACAGTGTATGGTGTTTCCCCTTTCACCACATCCTCACCAATACCAGTTACATCTTATTTATTCATTTTTTTATAATAGTCACCCTCACAAGTGTGAGGTGGTATCTCTTTGTGGTTTTGATTTGCATGTCCCTGATGATTAGTGATGCTGAACACCTTTTCATGTACCTGGGAGGGAAAGAACCTAAAAATCTGTGTCTTTTCTTCCTCTCCTCTCTGGAATTCTGTTCAAAAATCCACACCCTACATCCAAAATCTATCACATCATCCAGTGGTCTGACACATTCTTATTTTATCACAATATTATTGAACACTAAAAAAAGAGAGAGAGAGAGAGAGACAGCGTCAGACTTCCATCTAAATTACTGGTGGAAAAAGGTATTGTAGAAGACCCTCTTGAGAAGTCAGTTTCAAAATTCCCAGTGTTTTTGTCCCTCCACTGACTCTCACAATCCCGAAATCTGGGTGACCTGGCTTGTAGAGCTCTTTCTATGACGCAGGCTTGAGATTGGTATTTCCTGCTTCAAAACCATCTGAACCCCATTCTACCTATATTGATAGCAAGGGCTGCCATTACAAAACACCACAGACTAAGAGACTTCAACAACAGAAATTAATTTTCTCATTGATCTGGAGCCTGAAAATCTAAAATCAAAGTGTCTGCTGGTTGTCTTATTCTGAGGGTCCTTGCCATAGAGACCACTGCCTCTCGCTATGTCCTCACAGGGCCATCCCCTGGTCATTTCTTCTTAGAAGGACACAGCCACATTGCATTAGGCCTCACTGTATGTTAATGTCCTCTGTAAAGGCATTCTGAGGTAATGGGGGGTTGGGTCTTCAACACCCAAATTTTGGAGGGACACAATTAAACCTGTCACACTATTTCCCTCACCTGCAGAAATGTTAAGAGCCACAGAAGGGTAAAGCAACTTTTCTTTGATTTAGCTAGGAATGTTAAATCAGACCTTCTTGTAAAAGAAAAGCACTAAGGGGGCTCCCAGGTGGTGCAGTGGTTGAGCACTGGGCTGCAAAGCTGCCCGCAGCCTCTGCAGCACCGCTTCGATCCCCGGCCGCAGGCGAGGGTCCCACATGGTGCATAGACCTCTCCTGCCGTGCCCGCTGCTCCCCTCAGCAGTGTGCTTCGTCAGTCTGCCTGCTCTGCTCCCCGCTCTGGCTCTGGTGAATTCTCTCACCCTCCCATGCTGCTGACTATACCCAGTGCTTGTATAAATAAATAAATAAATAAATCTTTAAAAAAAGAAAAAGAAAAGCACTAAGGCCTCCCTGGTGGTGCAAGGGGTTAAGCACAGCACTGTGAAGCTATCCGTAGCCTCTGCAGCACGAGTTCGATCCCCAGCCAGCAAGAGAGCTACCACATAGCGCAGCAGACCTCTCCTGTCTCACCTGCTGCTCTCCTCAGCAGTGTATTTCAGTCTGCCTGTTCTGTTCCCCGCTCTGCCTCTGGTGAATCCTCTCATCATCCTCGCCCCCACACTTCTGGCCTGTATTCCAGTTTTTATATGCATAAATAAATAAATATTTTTTAAAATTTTTAAAAAAGAAAGGCCCTAGCATCTAAAGCATGGAAGGAGAAACCTGTTGGAGATTTCCTGTTGGTGTTAGCTCAAGGTGGAGGACATGAACAAAGAAACCATTTTGCCCCTGAACCTGCCATGAAACTACTCAAAGGAAGCTGTGTGGCCTCCTACGTTGTCACCATATGGTGTGGGATGCATTTGGGATTTTGTACAGCAGGCCGTGAGTGAGATAGGCTGGGATCAGACAGAGTGAGTAATCAACAGAGTGAGTAATCTGTTCTCCCAGACCCAGCAAGAACATATGGCACTGCTTTAGGGCTGTTTGTCATCTAAGGAAATCACACCATTCTTTTTCCCTTCTGTTTACTTTTTCACTGATGATAACAATAACTACACTGCCTATTGAACTCTCACGAGCAAGTGGGTTCATTGCCCACTTAATCCTCACATTATTATCTGAATTTTTTTTTAATTTTTTTAGGGTGTGTAAGGTTGTTCTTTTTTTTCCCCTCAAATTTTATTAATTTGGGGCTTCCCTAGTGGTACAGGGTTGAAAGTCTCAGTGCTATCAAGATATTGCCAGCCACTGTGGCATGAGTTGAATCCCCGACCAGGGGGATGACCCACATGGCACGCAGCAGACCTCTCTTGTCTCACCCACTGCTCCCCTCAGCAGTGTATTTCAGTAGATCTGCATGGTCTGCTCCCCACTCTGTCTCTGGTGAATCCTCTCACCCCCCCCCACACTTACAGCCTACACTCCAGTTCTTGTATGCATAAATAAATAAAATAAATCCTTGAGGAAAAAGTTATTAATTTGTAAGTCATTTCAAAATAAATAGACAACTATAAATCAGAGACTCTGCAGGGGAGGAGGAGGGAGAGGGATCAAAACAAGGCAGGAAGAGCACAAGGGACTATGGTGATGGTGCATGGGTGAATTTGTGGTAGAAATTCTGTGGGAACTACACCTGAGAAAAGAAAGCAAGCATTGTCAAAAATGAATAATGATGTAAAATATATATAAATAAATAAAAATAATAATTTGTAAGTTGTTCAGATAACAACATTATTTCAGGGTTACATTTTCACACCTCCATATGTGCACAAACATCACCCACCTGCCACCAAAACTCCCATTCAGATGTCCTATTCCCTTTATAAGGGATAAGGGTATTCCCTCCTGCCTCACCTCTCTTTCTCCCCTCTTAGGGGAGCATATTTATCACAGTCTAAGAATTACTTTTGTTATGCCTTGCCAGTTTGGAGTTTGGGGTTTTCTTGTTGGTTTTTATTTCCTTTGGTTATTTATATTTCACAAATAAGTGGATCCATCTGGCATCTGCCCTTCACTGCCTGACTTATTTCACTTACCATAGTCACCTGAACAGATCCATGCATTTTGTCCCCATAGGCACCATTTCACCTTTTTAATAGCTTAGTAGTATTCCATGGGGTATTTATATTCCACAATTTCTTTATCCAGTCATCTGTCATTGGGCACTTAGGTGGGTCCCACGACTTATTGGCTATTATGAATAACACTGCTATAAATATGGTGCATGGAGCCTACCTCAGTGGCGCAAGCAGTTGAGCACAGCGCTGTGAAGCTGTCCACAGCCTCTGCAGAGCTGGTTCGATCCCGGCCAGCTGGCGAGGGTCCCAAGCGGCGCGGCAGACCTCTCCTGTCTCGCCCGCTGCTCCCCTCAGCAGTTTATTTCGTCAGTCTGCCTGTTCTGTTCCCCGCTCTGTCTCTGGTGAATCCTCTCACCCTCCCGCGAATCTGGCCTGTACCCCAGTTCTTGTATAAATAAATAATTAAATCTTTAAAAAAATATATGGTGCATAAATCTTTTCATATTCTTTGGCTAAATACCTAGCAGTTGTATTGCAAATTTATATTGTATTGTATTGCAAATTTGTATTATATTGCAAATTTGTATTGCAAATACATGGTATTTGCAAATTTATTTTGTTATCTCTATACCCTTTTCCATAGAGGCTACACTATTTTATCTCTATTTTACATAGAGAGAAACTATATAGAGAGACAATAAAGAGAATTATTACCCAAGTTCACTTACTTAGTAAGAAGAGTAACTCTGATTCCAGAGCCCTTAGCTACTTTCTTCATCAGTCCATGCTTGAGTGGCAATAAAAAGTTGACTAGAAAGTCTAGTAGGGAAACACAAGCTTTAGTCTCACAAAGGCCAGTGTTCTGATCTTAGCTCTATGATCACGGGAAATTTATTTAATCTTTTTATACTCAGTTGCTTCCTATACAACTTGGGGATAATTTATGAAAAATTCCAATCAAAGTAACTTCTAAATAGTATCTATTATTTTTATTATTACTATTGTTATTTTATCCCCATTCTATTCCATGATCAGAATACATAACCACATATGTAGCTATATAAACCAGTAGAATTGTACCAAAATATAAAATAAAGTAATGCCTTGCTTTGCAACTGTGTATCAGTTGATATTACTAATTTCAAGTTACCCTTATAGCTCATTTTTCAGCAAAGGTGACATTTAGATGGACCCTTCTTTTTCACCTCCTTTTTAAAATCATTAATGATTGCTTATTAACATTGCATTTCATTACCCCTATGGCTTCTCAGTCCCTCAGGAAGACTCAGTGAATAATTTAAACTTCATGTTTAATTTATTATACAGGCTTATAGCAACTATTTTCGTGAACTGATCCTTGTTAAATTTCTCAAGGCCTAGAGGTACAGGTGCCTCCATTAAAAATATATCTGACAGTTTTCTTAAAGGAATCTTTTTAAAAGTGCTCAGATGGGCACATTCATACTTAATTGACCATAGATTACACACTATTCACCTTTGAAGAAAAATTGCTTTTTTTGTCTGAAAATTAGTTGCGGGATAATGCTTTTCTTCTCCAGTTTTTTGGATTATAATTACAGCATGTGACATAAGACAAAGTGACTGATTCAACTGTTTCCTGGGACATGGATAAAGGGAGAATTATAGAGGTGACTCAGGAGTGGGAGAAAGAGATGAAGAGGGGGAGGTGCATGTTTCCAAGCAGGGTGGCAGGAAATTTAGTGATTGTGGGATATGGTGTTTGTTGCAGGGGAGGTGGGATTGTTCTTTCTTATGTCTCATCCACAAGCTGTGAATGAAACAATGGAACAAGCAAGAAGTGGAAGGCTTTGCTCTGGGTGCTACCTCCAGCTTGAGGTCTATATGCATCTGTAATTAGGTATCATCCATCGTACCTGGAAAAGAAATGAAAACAAGTATTTCTGCTGAAACTTGATCTGAAATTTATCAAAAGATTCAGTTTCACTTATAGTTAGCTGGAGTTTGAAGTCTCCTGAGACCTAAATTGGGCCCCTTTATATTTATTTCTATGTATTGAGCTAATAACATTTCTATATATTGAGCTAATATGATTATTCATTTGTAGAGATATGCAAAACATGTGAATTCAAACCAAGGATAAGTCCATTCCAAATAACATGGCCTGGAAGACTTTATTTCTACTCAGATTAGTATAGATTAATGTATTTCTAGAATGTAGTAGCGGTTCAAGTTCTCCCTTACCTGATGTTGTTGTGCCATCAAAACTATGAAGGGTCCAACACCATTGGGAAAACCTGTCTTTCCCAGGAAACTACACTATTAGCCAATGTGCTTTTTATTCAATGTGCACAGAATAAAAATGGACCATCTGACTTGAGCTGGCTCCAAATTTTCTATTAAAGTAATTGCTTTTTTCCTATAACAGATTAAATTACTTACATTACTTTAATATGAACCCAATATTGAGGACAAGAATATTAACTGATATTTGTCAATATTTCCAGATTTAAAAAAATTATACGTATTTTTACTTAGGCCTTATTTAATACAGAGCAATTATTGAGAACAATGGTATGGATTTCACTCATTATTATATCTCCAATAGCTAACATAGGCCCTACAACCCAATAGGAGATTTTAAAAATTTGTTGAAAGCAAAAAAGAGATACTTAAAAGGAACAGTCTCCAGCCTCCTGATTTATTGCATATAATACATTCAAATGCAAATAAATGTGTTTATTCTTCAAAGCATCAACTTCATGAAGATAGGCTTGCCATGGGTAAATTTTTTTTTCAGGGTAAAGAAGCCTTCATAGCCTTTATCCGGTTATAGATCACAAGAAAGCACATTGTCCTTGTGAATGGGCCCAGTCCTTTGTATTTGCAACTTTCTTGGTGCTCAATTTTGTTAGTTATTTTAAGAATAAGACTCTGTAACTAATTTTACAGTTGAAGAATGAGCATTCAAAGGCAGTAATTACAGTTAATGTTAATTGAGCACTTACTTATACATTTAATGCCTAATACCCTAAGGGAAATCCATAGCCCCTAAGGGAAATCTTACCCCCTCAGCCACCTGTGAGATGGTATTATTTTAGCACCATAGGATATTGGAGGTACAAAGATGCTAAGAGACTAAATCAGCTGTCACATAGCTTCTTAGTGTAAAGACAGGATTTAAACCAACATCTTTCGGTTCTATAACAAAGGTGTTTAAGCACTGTCATTTTCTGCCTCTGTGACACCTGGTCTTCTGGAAATCCCTAAAAACTTTGATAAAGTTCATTCTGACCATGATACTTTAATGACACAGGATCTTCCAAGATTTCAAGGTAAAAAAATAAATAAATAACATAAAAACAGTAATGCTGCAATAATAAAAAAGATTCTTTGATATGGAACAGTATTAAAAATAAAAACATTATTTCATTTTGAAAATTACTATCATATATTCCAAAGAATATGTGATATTTTTAGAATAGGTTTTCCCCATAACTATTAAACATCCTTTTTTAAATGACTAAGTAAGTGGTTCAAAAAACTTTTGTTATGCTATAACTTGTTTAACCATTCCTCTAATGATAGGCATTTATGTTGGCTCCAAATATTTTGTGTTGCTGTAATGAATATCATGGAGAATATTCTTATACAAAAATTGTGCTAATTTCTAAATTATCTCTGGAAAGATCCTCATAAGTGCAATTAAATTACAAACCTGTAAGGCTTTTGAGCAAGTTTTTGATTCACAATATTAAATTATTCTCCATGAAATCTGTAACTTCAATTTTCTAATACCAAAAACAAAACGGAGCCAGTGGCCTGGGCTGAGACACAGGTTTGTTTGCCCTCACATCACCAAAGGCCTCTGGCCTCTCAGGTTGCCTACCTGGTTTCATTTCAAGTTTTTTACCAATAGGCCTCCTGTATTTTAATCAGGCTGGAATCCATATTAATACTACTCAGTTCAGGGGCCTCCCCAGTGGCACAGAAACTAAAAGCTCAATGCTATCAAGCTGTCACCAGCCACTGCAGCATGAGTTGTATCCCCAGCTAGGGTGCTAACCCACATGGCACAGCAGACCTCTCCTGTCTTACCAGCTGCTCCCCTCAGCAGTGTACTTCAGTAGATTTGCCTGTTCTGCTCCCCACTCTGTCTCTGGTGAATCCTCCCACCGCCTCCCCTACCCCCGCCTCTGGCTTATACCCCAGTTCTTCTATGCATAAATAAATAAAAATAAATATTTTTTTAAAATACTGCATAGTTCACATTGCCTGTCTTTCTTCTCTTCCAACAGCTGTTCTACCTACTAGAAGTGCCTTATGATCTGTTAAATATGGCCACAAACTCTTTACATTAAAAGGCAGAACCTCCTTGCCCATTGCCTTGAGTCTGGACTGACTTTCCAACTGAATTTGCTTGGATCAACAGGAATATCACCCAGCAATCAAAAAAGATAAACACATGCAGTTTGTAGCAACATGGATGGAGCTGGAAGGGATCATGCTCAGCGAAATAAGTCAGAAAGAAAAAGAAAAATACCAGATGGTCTCACTCATAGCAGGAATTTAGAAAACCTAAATAAGGGACCAGGAAAAAAACTAATTAAAACAAAGTAAAAGTCAAAATCAACAAGCAACTATAAACCAGAGACACACTATGGGGGGGTGGGGGAGAGGAAGGATTAGGGTCAAAATAAGGGGGGGGGGGTGTGCAATTGTATGGGGAATATAACCAAAATGAAAATGCATACATTGTGCGAAAGTGAAAAATGATGTAAGAATTATATAATATAAAATATTTTTTAAAAAGAATATTTAGAAAAAAATTGAAGGTTAATGAAAAACTAGAAAATATTATCTGTGTTATCAATAAAGTAAAAGATTAAGAAAAAACAAAAAACAGGAGGCAGCAAGTGATACCTTATAACTCCCAAGATTTGGTTTCCAGAAGTCCTGAAGTTTCTGCTTTCGACCTTTTTGTTTTAAACTTTTTAAAATTCTGTTTACTGAGGTAATGTTGATTTATAGCACAGTTTATGTTTTAGGGGCATAGATTCATACCTGTACAGAAGTATGTTACCACGCCAAGCTCACCACCGAAGCCCAAATATTCCTTCACCATAGTCCATTAGGCCGTCCCACCACTTTGCTTCACCCCTACCCCCACTTCTGATAACCTCACTTCTGCAGTCAGCTTTCAAGGGCTTGCTTTGTTTTATTTTTTTGTCTATTCCTTTGCTTTGCTTTTTATATTCCACATATGAGTAAACTCATCTGGTATTTGTCTTTCTTCTGGTGACTTATTTTGCTTAGCATAATCCCCTCCAGTTCCATCCAAGCTTTGAATACCGCTACCATATGAACAGCCTATCTGTGAAGATGAGTTAGACCACATGGAGAAAGAGGCCCAGTCATCTGTGTTAGGACAGGATCTGTTATGGGGGTCACAGATGTGAGCAAGGCCACCATGACCAGCTGATCCATGAACAATTATGAACAGATGCAGAGCTGGACAAGTCCTCCTGGCTGTCTCCACCCAAATCACCAAAACAGAGAATAGGACAAACCAATAGGTATGATTTTGATCCCTCAAGCTTGGGGTAGCTTATAGCACTGCAGCAGATCATTAGCACATACATTTTTATGCTTGTCCTCCTAATATGCCCATCACCTATTAGTAGACTGAGCTCCCAAGTCACTCCTCCAAGAAATATTCTCTGATGGAAACTTCCCCTGCAGAGTCAGTCTTAACTCAGGTTTGGCTTACTGCACTGCCCCATACTGTTTTCAGGGTGCAGAGACCTAGCTGCCTCCCTAAATGCCCTCCCCCATCTGCTGGCAGATGCCTGAGCTCCCACCATTAAAGTTTCATTACTTACATAAAAGCATAAATGCTTATTAAATTTTAAGATCCCTGCAAGGGATAACAAGTCTGTGCTTTTGATTTTTCTCTTATTATAAAAGTATATGGGCACAGAAAGTTGCCCCAATATCAGGTCACTTTCCCAAAGGAAAAAAAAAATTTAATAGTTTCAACCAACTTGAATAGAAGCCTTTAGGGATATACATCAAATAATTATGTGTCTAATTTTAGTACTTAAAGTATTAATAAATTAAATGAATTTAATTAAGCATACATGCTTAAAAATCACATTATGGAAAATAACATTTGATTTAGAAACACTTATTTCTTCTACTCTTTTATCCATGAGGTTATCTAAACAAAGTTGCCATAATTGTCCTTCATGGAAAGTATCCTCCAAATCACTAGCAATGAGACAGTTTTCAGTCATCTGACAGTTCTCCAGAAAAAATATTCTATCTAAACTGTAATTTTTAAAGTACGATGCTACCATTGGAATTTTTATCCCACACCACAAGTATCTATTCACAAAACACCGAAGCAGTCATTGGTTCCCTTCATGCTGTGAGCGTACATTCATGACCTTCACAGTATAACCACTTACAGGGCTGCTTTATAAAGAGATCTTTAGAAAGCTGGTTTACAATGAATCATAGAGCTTGCAACTTGAGGATCTCATCC